AATATTGAAGATATAAGTGATCTACTATCAAAAATAACTAAGCTGGAAAATAGTTCAAGGAGAGATCATTTAGGAATCATCAGACTTCCTAAAAATTACGACAAAAAAAAAAGATTGCTGTTATTTCAAGAAATCTTAAAAGAAAACTGGTAATAACTAAGCGTTATCATGGGTATATCATGAACCAATATATATATATATTTCAAGTCAAAGAAAAAAATACTGCAAACAGAAAGAATTAAAGTACTTTGCAAGTGACTACCATCAGAATCATGCAGGACTTAGGAGCAACTACCATAAAGAACAGAAAAACCTTGGGTTGTGATAATCCAAAAGAATAATCCACAATTCTTGATTTGTAACCAAGAATAACTTAACCTGCAAAACTGAATATAATCCTATAGGAGGAAAATGAAATAAAAGACTTTTCAAGTATTCCTGATCAGAGCTGAATAGCAACTGTGAAATGCACAGGAGTCAAGAGAAACCTAGAAAGGTCCATTCGAGCAATTGGAAAGGACTAAAAGAAAAAAAAAAAAGAAGATATGCTTACATAATAAGGAAAGAAGAGACGTGTCCCTCCAGAATCCTACTATCTTGAAGGGTCATAGAGGGAGTTACAAAAGATAGTTAAAAGGTTTAAGTTTTGTTTTGTTGATTTTTAAGTGATGAAAAAGGAAGGAAAAAGGAATACATTAGAGAACAAATGAGGAAGATAGGAAAGGAACTAAATATTTTTTCATAATTAGCTGTGCAAGAAGAGTATACAAATACAGAGGAAGGAGTGGGAGGACTGGAAAAAATTGGGATCTCAGAACCTCATTCTAATCTGAACCAGAAAAGGGCGCGCACACACACACACACACACACACACACACACACACAGAGTTTTGTGTAGAAATATATCAAAACTGCTATTATTTAAAAATAAAGAAGTAGATCAGTGAAACTAATTAGGTACACAAGATAATGGAGCATAGTAACATACTTTTAAAAATATTTATCTAATGTTTTACTTTTTCTCTGGTTACATGTAAACAATTTTTTTTAACATTTTTAAAATTTTAAATTCCAAATTCCCTCTCCTTCTCTCATCTTTCCCCTCATAGAGAAGGTAAGCAATTTGGTATAAGTTATACATGTGCTGTCATGCAAAACATATTTCCATATTAGTCATGTTATGAAAGGAAACACAAAGAAAAAGAAAGTAAAGAATTATGCTTCAATCTGCATTCAGACTCCATCAGTTCTTTCTCTGGAGGTGGACTGTATTTTTTTCATCATAAGTCCTTCAGGAATTGTCTTGGATCATTGTATTTCTAAAAATAGCTAACTCTTTCACAGTTGATCATTGTACATTATTTCTGTTACTGTGCACAATGTTGTCCTGGTTGTGGTCATTTCACTTTGCATCAATTCTGGAAGTCTTTCAAGGTTTTTCTGAGAGTATCCTGCTTGTCATTTCCCATAGTACAATAGTATTCCATTACCATAGTAACATACTTTTGATCAGGACACAATTATGGGAGGAGGAGGAGGAGCCTAAAGCATCACTATTCAACAGAAACTTCTGGAAAAACTATGAAGCGGCCTGGAAGAATTAAACTATAGCCTGTGTCACATCTACCACAATAAGATCCAGATTAATACATGACCTAAATATAAAAGGTCACATTATAAACAAATTAGAAGAGAAATGAAGGTAAAATCTTTACAGTTATAGGTAAGAGAAGAGGTCTTGACAAAAAATAAAGAGATAGAGATGAATTCAGGAGATAAGATGAACAAGTTAACTTCAAAATATTTTACACAAACAAAATCAATGCCATTAGAATTAGAAGGGAAACATTTAACTGGGGAAAAAAATTTTTGTAGTACATGTCTCAGATAAAGGTCTGATATCCAAGATGTCAGGAATTGATGCAAGTATATGGGAGCAAGGGCCATTCTTGTTCTTAATGGTGAAAGGATATGAACAGGTAATTTTCAAAAGAAGAAATGTGCGCCTTCAACAACCATAGAAAAAAATAAATAATAAAAAGTGAAGAAAAAAAGGAAATTAGTTGCATAACTTTATCACATATTTAAAAGGAATAGCGAAGTTGCACATAATAGATTTGCAGTTTCATGTGCAGTCATCTTTTTTTCTATTCTGTTATGTTATGGAAATACTTGTTTTATTTCTTAAGTTCAGAATAAAGTAAATAAAAATTTAAAAATATTACATCACTAATAATAAGAGACATTTAACTCTCAAGTTCCACTTCACACCTATCAGATTGGCAAAGATGAATTAGAAAAAAAAAAGACTCTAAAAGTCCTATGCTAAGTGCTGGGGATAGAAATACCTAAAAGAGGATATAGAAGCTTAGAAGGGGATGCAAGCAAACAGGGCAAGATGCTACTATGTTAAATATGTATTTTAAGATACAAATATATATATATTTAAAATAAGATACACTTAATGTTAAGTTTCAAATATAATCTTTTTCTGTTCTCCTTTGTATATGGAAATGTTCATGTTTGTCAAGTTCATAATAATTTTTTTTTAAAGAGGAGTGAAAAAAACCACCATGGTGTGTTCTGGTTACCCAAAGTTACAATACCTTTTCTCCTTCTCTGTAAATTTTACTGATCCTTCAAGGTGCAAGTCACACCTCTTTTATGAAGCCAATTATCCCACCTCAGTCATTTCTTCTGTCTTTTCTGAGCTCCTATGTGCACCAAATCATGCAGCATTTAGGTTTTTCTTATAATGTTCTGCATATTCTACCGTAGTAGTGTGTTGCTTAAAATAACACTGGACCTGAAGTCGAGAAGATGTGGGTTCAAATCTAGCTTTTGACACTTGCTAGCTATGTAATCCTAGGCAAGTTACGTAACCCCTATCCATCTGAGTTTCCTCATCTGTAAAATTGGGATAATACTGGCACCTACCTCCCAGGGTTGTTGCAAGGATAAAAATGAAATATTTGTAAAATGCTTAGGACAATGCCTAGCACATAGTAAGCACTAAATAAATGTTTATTCTCTAATAAATCCAGACTAACCCCCTTATTTTACAAATAAGGAAACTGAGACCCAGAGGACTAAAGTGATTTGCTGAAGGTCACACAGGTAATAAGTGTCAGAGGTAGAATTTGAACCTGGATCATTTGTACTAACACAATCTGTGATCTAGGTGGGTATGTGTTTTACATTACTTTTGGTTTTATAGTGAGGATAGTCCATATGATGTCTTTGATTGTGGACCTCACTGAGGAGGCCCTGGAATGTTCTGGGGTTTAGTGCAATCCCCTACCTTGCAGGGGTTGTGAGGATCAAATGAGATATTTATAAAAAGCTCTTAGCATGGTACCTGACACACAGTAGGCACTATATTTAAAGTGTTTATTTCCTTCTCTTCCCACTTTGGTTGAGGTGGAGGAGCCGATTTAAAAGTACCATCTGTAGTCTTTTCTATTCTCTTGGAATCTTCTCTTTTAGATATCGTAAAAATTGATCACTATGTTGCCTCCAATAAGATTTTTTCTGCACATATCTGGTCAGACCCAGCTTTCCTTCCTAATTTCCATCTTCTTTTCTTTTAGAACAATCACAAAATTGTATTTCAAATGAAGTACTAATGAAATAATCAATTCATTTGGTATTAATAATTTTACTGTTACAGTAACAATATCTGATGCTTCCCATTTTCTATATTGTTCTTACATACATTTTTATATCTTCAGTTCACATCATAATCATATTTATCAATTGGAATATAATTATGATTAGCATTTATAAACTTATTAAATAAAACACAGGATAGGTGCAAGCTTATAACTGCTTCTACTTTTCCATCATCCTCCTTGTTAACATTTTGCAAACAAGTTTATATTCTAAACCTATTTTTTTTCCTAGTGCCATCTCTCTTCTCAGCAAAGATGCTGAATAAATATATGGTAGTAGATTCATCAAAAAAACCCCAAACTTTTGGCATGTATATAAACTGTTAAGGCATCAAAGCCAGTGGCTGTTCAGTCAATTTTTTAGACAACCCCATTTGGAGTTTTCTTGGCAAAGATACTGGAGTGGTTTGCCATTTCCTTCTTCAGCTCATTTTACAGATGAGGAAACTGAAGCAAACAGGATTAAGTGACTTGCCCAGGGTCACACAGTAGTAAATGTCTGAGGTCAAATGTGATCCTTCCTGACTCCAGGTCTGGCCTTCTATCCATACCCCTAATATGGTTTAATAGCATTTGCTACGTTCTACTCATACTAGAGTTAGGTGTGTTATCTGTCTAATCTTTACTAAATTGTAAACCTGAGGTCAGGGAGCAAATTTTAGACATTTTTATCTCTCCTACAACAGTGGACTGAACCTTGGCCAGTCCATGTATATGCTGAATGAATCAATGTAGGCAATTGATTCACTTTCTTCCAACCTAAATTTGAAGCGCATATATGAGAGTATTTATAGCTGTGTTCTGAATAATAAACTTTTATTATTTTTTTTTGTTTTCCCATCACTTTCTCTTTATCTTCTTTCTACTACTCCCTCCCAGAATGCCATCTGGGATGCCTTTTTTTTTTAACAAAGAATTTTTTAAACGGAAGAAGAGAAAATAAATTCCACAAAACCAAATCAACACACCAACAAAATCTGACATTTTATCAATTGTTACATACCCGTGGATCTACTCCTCCCCCATCTCAGCAAAAGAGCAGGGGGAAATGTCTTCTCCTCTCTCCTTTGGGGCTAAGCTGTTTCTTTATACATTTGAAATAGTCTGGTGTCACTGTTTTGTGTTTGCTGTTCTTTCTATTTTCATCTTTGTAATTATGTAGTATACTATTTCTTGTCTCTATTCATTATATCCATTGTTTCTTGCAGTAGAGTATATTCCATTACATTCATGTACCACAATTTGTTTAGCTATTCCCCAACTGATGAGAATTCACTTTGTTTCCAGTGTAGAAGTGTTCGGTTTTTTTAAACTCAAGAATATGAAACATAATGTTTAAGATCTTTATTGCAGCATTTATGATTTGTTTTATGAATTGTTATAGAAATATAAACTGCATTTAAAGCATTTCATTTTTCCATTTCTTCAATTACAATGAGAAGAAAAATGCTGGTATTCTTTCAGTTTGATTTTTTCTCCAATGGTCTGAAATAAGAGGAATCGGCATCCTGTAACGCAGAGATAGTTACATTAATCAAAAATAATCATTCCACATTTTTCTTATTTCTGTTAATGATAAAGACATTTTGGGGTTAATCCTATAATTTTTGTATTGTGCTTAGGGCCAGACTCTGCTTTATTGCTATCACTGGAATGTTTGGAAGAGAAAAAAAAAACTTTGGGGCCTACAGATAAAGCCTTGTAAATATTTCATTAAGTTAGAGCCAAGCCCTTCAGCACCCTTTCCAAAGATAATGTTCCATAGCCTAGCTACAATTATTTAACAACAACAACAAAAAGAATAGAAAGTGAGCTTTCTTATGAAATAGACCTTCTGGAATATTGAAGTGATGCACGTCTTGACTCGTGTGATGGATGTGATAAGACTTTAAACTCTTGTCTTTGGGAGGCAGCAAATCAGGATTTTCCTGTAAGTGCAGCTCTCGGCCAAGGGACAAACCTATCTCAGGGGGCCCAAGACAAAGACAGCGGAGGTCAAGTTACATTCATCCTTGCTGTGATATCTACCAGCACTGTCTCTAGACCTTTCCTGCCTGCTCATGGGAAAAGAACCTCAAAGACTTTTGCAACCTGATTTTAACAAAATATTCTGTTTTACTTTCATGAACCTCACTAAAGGACTGTGCTCAGTTTGTATGATTCTTGGGAAAACTGGATAAAGATTCAAATTTGAGTGATAAGCACCCATCAAAACCTCAGACTTTAGGCAAAATATTAATCCCCTGACGGCTTGTAACACTAATCTAACCAGTTATGCTATCAACTGTGTTACTGTATTATGAAGAGCAATTGGCATCTGTTCATCCCACTTTTAAAAACTGTTTTTCTGCACTTCTGGACTATGATTTACCAGAGTGAATTACAAAGGAAATGTTTAACCCATTTACAGGGTAGATATATTTGATAAGAGATGAAGTGCAGATTAGTTTGTAATTTATTTTATTTCAAAGCTAATTTTGCTAATGAAAAACCATTAAAAGGAAAAGAAAGAAAAAAGGGGCATGTAGGTGGCACAGTACATACAGTACTGGCCCTGGAGTCAGGAGGAACTTAGTTCAAATCCAGCCTCAGATACTCAACACTTACAGTGTGACCCTGGGCAAATCCCTTAACCCTGATTGCCTTGCCAAAAAAAAGAAAAAAAAAGAAAAAAATGAAAAACCAAGAACAAATAAATTCCTAACAGACAGAATTTGTAAGCTAGCAGAAACACTAAATTCACAATGTGGACTGTGTTTTTGCTTCCCCTCCCACACCCAAAATAAAAATTCATGAAAACACTGTATATAGATAGAATAAAATATTCCAATCCTAAGGTTGGAACTCAAGAGAGAGACAAAATTGGAAGCCTTTATTTTTAGCCTTTACTTTTATCTCCTTATAGGCTTTGTTAACAGACTCTCCTCAATTCATTTAAGTATGTACTATGTGCTAGGTACTCTGCTAAGACAGGGAACACAAAGAAAGGTTAAAAACAAACAAACAAACAAACAAACAAAAAACCAATCCTTGCCTTCAAAGAGCTCACAATTTCATAGTTACTTCACTATCAATCATCCTTCTCTGGAATCTCTCCAACTTATTAATGTCCTTTCTACAATGGGGTGCCTAGAAGTGAACACAATACTCGAAGTGTGATTTGGGCAAAGTGCCTCTGACTTCGGCAAAGTCCAGCAGGGACTATCTCCTCCCTAATCCTAGATATCTCACTTCTCTTAATGCAGTCTATGATCTGTCATCATGCACTGGGCTCAAACTGAGCTTGCATCTCTCCCAGATGAAACGATGTCTCTCCCGCTCCCATTTTGTACTTGTAAAGTTGTTTTTTTTTTAAACCTAATTGTAAGACATTATTAAAATCTCTTCTTAGTACATTCAACCCAATGTTCTAGTCTGTCCAGATCATTCACCATTAGCTCTGTCTTTTCTTCTTCTCATCTCAAAACCCCTTGAAATCCCTTTACCTCTCTCCCCCATACTCCAGTCTGTAATAATAAGGTATCTATCCCTTCTACTCACTAAAGCTAACTCCCCTCCCCTCCAACAGGGGAATCTGAATCATTAGATTCTCTGAATCATCTCCTTTCTCTAATCTACAATCTATTATTTCCCTGCTGCATATAAATATGCCCAAGCCTCCCCCCTCCTTGGAAAGCCTTCATTAGACCCTACGAAGCCCTCAAATTTTTGTTGTTCTATGTCTTCCTGCCATCTCAGCCATACTCCTACAAAAAGTATTGCCTCTACTTCCTCTCCTCTCACTTAGCAGCTCTACTTCCTCTTCTCTCACTAAGTAGCTCTATTTACCTTGCTCTCGCTTAGCAGCTCTATTTCTTCTCCTCTCATTAACTTCTCTATCTTTTGTAATCTGGCTTCTGACCACAGCACTCAAATGAAATTACTTTCTCCTCTTGCCAATAATCTCTTTCTTCCCCCTAGAATATTTTTAAGTTCTGAATTTAAACACTCCTGAAAGGAGTATTTCCACACATAGAACAGAATATAAAAAGAGGATTCTATATGAAGCTGTTAATCTTCATTTCAAGCCCCTTGCTTAAGTGTTTAATAAATTCACCAATGATTTCTAATGGCCAAATCTGATGGTCTTCCATATGTCTGCATTTTTCTTGACTTCTGAAACTTTTTATATTGCTGAGGGTGCTCTCCTCTCTGGGTTTTCATGAGCCAGTTCTCTACTGCATCTCCCTGTATGTGAATGACCGCTCTTCTTAAGTCTCTTTGGTTTTCTCAACATCCCTGTCGCAGTCTCTAACTATAAACGTATCTGTCCCTGTTCTTCTTTTCTCTCTCTATTCTTTCTTGCGTACTGACTTGACCAGCTCTCATGGGTTTAATTATCATCTCGATGAAGATGACTCATGGATTTTTGTATCCATACCTAACACTGCTCCTGTCCTCCAGTCCCACGTCACCAACTGCCTATTGGACACTTTCAAGCTGAACCATCTCAAATCTCCAAAGAATTTTTAAATCCAACACATCCAAAACAAACTCATTATCTTTTCCCCATAATCCACTCCTTTTCCAATCCTATTTCTTTCTATTGTGGATACCAATATCATAGTCCTTCTAGCCTTCCAGATTTGCAAATATGGCATTATGTTCAATTTACTGGCACTCATTGCACACACCCAACCACCATCTCAATTTCCAGAGGTTCTTAAAGTGGGTGATACCACCCCCAGAGGGGTGCTGGACCAGTCCAGGGATTGGTAGGTAGTAGTAGCCTCTGGTATAATGGGGGGGCACTGAATAAAAATAAGGGGGTGGTGAAAGTATGAGAGAAAAAAAGAAGATAAGAAAACTTTGAAAAACTGTTTGTAGACGTTTCTTCTGTTGTGTATCAGAGTTAAAGCCATAGTGATTACATTATTTTCCAAATAAACACACAAAATGCAACTTATAACCAATCAGTGGTCAAGTCTGCTGACAAGTCTTAACAAGGAAGTGTTGGCAGTGTCACAAATTATCAGGAAGTCCAGCATGCATTGGCAGGAATATGTGTGTTAATGATTTGTTTACAATGCAATTATATATGGTTACATGACGCAGTACAGCATCATCAAAATTTCAATGCAAGAAAAACCCACCAGTTTCCAATAAATTATTAAATTTGTGACATTTTAATAAAATTTATGCTTTTTTGAAATGACAAATTTCAAAAAAAAACATTAAAGGATTAAAGATTTCTAGGGGGGCACTGAGTAAATTTCTTTTGAAAAGGTGGCAGTTGGCCAAATAAATTTGGGAACCTCTGATCTAAATCTTTCCATTTCTAGGTCTACAACATATCGCCCATTCTTCCCCTTCTTACTAACTCGCACAGCTACCACTTCAGTTCACACCTCAACCACCTCTTAACTAGACTAGAAATGGCCTCCTAATTTATCTCCCTGCTTAATGTCTTTCCTGACTCCAATCTATCCTCCACACAGTTGCCAAAGTGACCCTCCCTTAGTGTAGGTCTGAGCACATCACTCTTCTAAATAAACAAAATGCAGTGGCTACCTATTGCTTCAGGGCAGCTAGGTGGTATAGAGTCCTGGGCCTGAAATCAGGAAGGACTCATGAGTTCATGAGTCCTTCCTGAGTTCAAATCTTGCCTCAAACACTTAGTAGCTGTGTGACTCTGGGCAAGTCACTTAACCTCATTTGTCTCAGTTTCCTCATCTGTAAAATGAGCTGAAGAAGGAAATGGTAAACCAGTCCAGTATCTTTGCTAAGAAAACCTTAAATGGGGTTGCAAAGAGTTGGACATGACTGAAATGACTGAACACCAACAACCTATTGCGTCTCAGGCCAAATGCAAACTCCTCTGTTAGGCCTCTACACCCTGACCCCTAACCTAACTTTCCAGCCTCATCATCCACCACTCCCCTTCTCACAACCTGCAGTCTAGCCATATAATCCTTACTGTTCAATGAGTTTGTGTCTGCTTGCCCACCCTGCCATGACTGGCATGCATCCCCTCCTCACCTCCGCCTCTTGGAATCTCTTACTTCATTCAAGATGCAGCCCAAGCATTACTTCTAGCCTTTTCTAACACCCCAACTACCAATGTTTACCTTCTCTAAACTACCATTTCAGGCCGTGTTTATCACTTACATTTACCTACTAATTTTTGTCTTTTGTGACATGCACATATATAATGAGTATCTGTAGATATTATATGGTTTCCACTGATTTTCACTCTAGTAGCCAGTTCCTCCTTGTTGGTGAGAATCAAATCAAGAGTAGGAACTCCCTTTGCAGGTTTCTCTGCTCTTTAAAGGATAAAATGGTCTTTAAAGCAAACCAACACTCTGCTTGAGGCAGAAAGAGAAAGATCTGGCAGGCAGAAAACTCACATTCTCTATCACTACGATCGTACTTCTTCATGCCAGACTTTCCAAAACCACGTCACTTAGCTCTTTCTGTTGGGGGTCTCTAGGATATTTCACTGACATCCCCACTTATCTTTTTGGCTCCTCTCCCAAATTCATCCTCAGCTACTCTTAGAACTGGATGCCCTGAGGGCATATCAAACTCAGTGTTCCCAAAACAAAACTTCTTATCTCTTCCCCTCCCCGAACCCACTGCTCTTCTGAACTTCTATATTAATGTTAAGGGTACCACAATCCTTCCAGTCACCCAGGTTAACCAACTTGGCTTCATCAACAACTCCTTTCTCTTCCTCATCCCACATATCCAATCATGTGACAACTCTTATCTTTTCTCTACTTTTACAACCTGCTAATTTCCTGCTTCAAGTCTCCCTCCCATTCCAGTCCACCCTCCTCATAGCAGCTGAAGTGATTGTCCTGAACTGTAGGTTTGATCACATCACTCTCTTATTCATTAACTTCCAATGGCTCTCTAGTACTTCTGGGATCAACTATAAACTCCTCTGTTTAGCATGGAAAGCTCTCTACATCCTGGCCCCTTCCTATATTTCTATTCTATTTACACATTACTCCCCTCCACACACTCTACAATCCATTCAAATGGATCTAATCGCAATTCCAGAGGTATTCTCTTCCTTATCCAGACTTCCTAGAATTCCTGGTTTCCTTCAAGACGAGGCCCCAAAGCAAGAAAGGAGAGAAATAAATGGAAGGTTGCTGAGGCATTTTTAATGCAGAGAATAGAAAGCTGGAATGAAGTCAAGATATGCAGGACGGCTTCTACAACTACAGGATAAAATTATGTAACACAAACTAAACTTTAGTGAGATCTGTAGTTTCATGAACTATCCTCCTTTTCTGTTGTATTCTGTATATGGAAATGCTCATTTTATTTGGTGTCTGTTTAGTTCAGAATAAAAATAATTTTTGAAGGAAGGTTTAAAAAAAAAAAAACTAGGCTCCCTCCAGATACTAGCCCTTCCCTCTGAGGGGCACAAGGTCTGTTTGATTTTTTCTTTGTCTCCCTAGAGTTTAGCTCAAAGTCTGGCATGTGACAGATGCTTAATAAATGCTAGTTGATGGATTCTTTCATTAACTGACTCACTTAATTCTTCTATAATTTTCATTGTTGTTCAGTTGTGTCCGGCTTCTATGACCCCATTTGGGGTGTTCTTGGCGAAGATACTGGAGTGTTTTTGCCATTTCCTTCTCCCGCTTGTTTTACAGAGAAGAAACTGAGGCAAACAGGGTTAAGTGACTTACCCAAGGTAATATAACTAGTAAAGTGTCTGAGGCCAGATTTGAACTCAGGAAAATGAGTCTTCCTGACTCCACCCCCAGAGCTCTATCCACTGTACTCCATCTGCTGAGCTAACTAGTGTATTTTTTCACTCCTACTACATCTCAGTTTGAATACTGACTCTGCTACTTTCTACCTATGTGGCCTTGGGCAAATAGCACTCTGGGCTTCTCCCTCATCTGTAAAATGCGAGCTAGACTAGATAACCAGATCCAAGTCCACGAGACTGTGATCAGTCTCGATACAAAGCACCGTGTACCTAAGACCTTGGTCCAAACTTGCTCTGCTGGTGTTCTTCTCCACGGAAAATGTATTGTGAATAGGTCAAGTGATCTGCACAATGTTATGAAATAAGACACACACACACACACACACACACACACACACACACACACACACAGCCACACACACACACACACACACAGCCACACACACACACACACACACAGCCACACACACACACACACACACACACACACACAGCCACTGTTAAAATTTAGAATAAAACAACACTGGTAGTAGAAAAAGCACTTGACCAGGAGTCAAGGAGTCTTAGGTTCTGGTCTCTATTCTAACATTCTACAAGCCTTTGCTTGCAAGTGAGATCTGAGAAAAGTCAGTCCACAGATGACTAAGAATACCTGTAAAATTAGCAAACTAAATTAACAAACTATTGGTCAGTAACCACTTATTAAGCCTCTATTAACATGGAAAATCCTTATAGTATCATATTTTTTTTCTTAACCTCATACTGTTATTTCCTATGTTACCATAATAACAGCTCATATTTGCAAACCTCTTAGTTTACAAAGTGCTTTATATACTGAGTAGTATTCCATCTTACCCTCATAACAGCTCCATGAGACACAGGAATTAGTCCCATTTCATAGATGAGGAAACTAAAGTTTCAAAGAGTTTCTGTGACTTAAACTCTAATATTCAGCACGGTTCCTGGCACACAGTAGGCACTTAATAAATGCTTGCTGACTGATTGACTTGCCCATAATGATACAACTAGTTAACTATCAGAGGCTGGATTCAAACTCAGGTCTCTCTTGACTTAAGAGTCCAATGCTCTTTGCACGTTGCTTCTCAATCAGTTACTCTCATTTCCACTGCAATGCTCATAATTTCCTTAGGCATGCTTAGTAAGCTCTCCCCTTAGCTGCTGTAAAATCAGGCTCAAGAACAGACAGTTGCTGGTAATCCCTGCACAGTTTTGCTTTGGTATGCCTGGCCTCCTTATTTACAGAAACAGTACATGACTAAGAAATACATGGTATCATAGGATTTAGAGGCTGAAGACCTCTTAAAAGTTTAGGCCCATGGGGCAGCTAGGTGGCGCAGTGGATAGAGCTCCAGCCTTGAAATCAGGAGGACCTGAGTTCAAACCTGGCCTCAGACACTTGACGCTTACTAGCTGTATGACCCCACGCAAGTCACTTAATGACTTAGACCACATTAAGTGCACCAATATTGCACAGACAGGACTATAGTACACAGAGAAAGGGAGATGGCACAGGAATTAGCTCCACTTTGTAGAAGGCTGTATTGTCCAGGACAATAAGAGTCTGTAATGAGTCAAAAGAAAAGGATGCAAAGATAATTATCTTACCACTTTCTAGCCTGTTATCTAGGCATACCCCACATCAGGTTACCTGAACAAGACTGTCTGATAGAAATATCAGAATGTATTATAACTAGACCCAATCATTCAGCCAATTACTCATTTATATAGCGGAATTTTTATGGAAGGAATGACCCTCATGACATCATACTGCCTAATTATCGTTCTGCTGTGCTACCCTGACAATGCTGTTGCTCCTGCCCTGGGACTATACCATCCTGATTAGTGAGAGGTCACTACATCGAGCTGGCCCAGACCCTGGTCATGCTTTATTCTGGTCATCTTCCTGCTGTACACATACCCTCCCACCACACTCCCCACCCCAACTGTCCCTTGCATATTTACCTCCTCTTCTGGGTACAGAAATCAAATCAATGCTGCCATTGCTGCTGGAAAGAGCACGTCAACTGACTGACCTATAGCTCCATACCATCCCTGTGACGTTCTGGCCAAGAAAGCCCTTCCCTAACCATCACTCCCCTAGTCCGTGGTCTCTCCTGTCAGAATATCCTTAGCATTTGGCACAGTGCCTGGCACAGAGTGCTTGACACTGAAACAAAGTTTTTACTTGTTCATTAAAGGAACCGTTAGAAGAAATGAATAACCAATGTTGTGTTGATTTTTAAAGATATGTATATGTACAAGTATACAGAGCACACACACATATACATATGTATGTATTTATGAGTATACACTATTTGACAGTAACCTGTGATTTCATTACTGTAGGGAATTTCCAACAAGGAAATTTGTTCTACCAATGTAACTAGTCTTAGAGAATTGCCCAGGGTCCCGAAAGGTTAAATTACTTGTTCAGGTCACCAAGTGAGCACGTGTCAGACTCAGGACTTGAACTCAGGATACAGGCAGATAGACAGACAAACAGACAGACAGATATGAAAATAATAAAACTTGAGAACCAACAAATTCTTTGTATTCTTTGGCAAAGCTTTAGAAAAAAATACATAAGACCATACCAGTCCACTCTTAAAATTTTCAATTCTTCTGTATCCCAGCTTGTTCGTTAGCCACCAGGCCCAGGTTGGGGCATACTGCCAGATATAGCAAAATGATAGATATGGCTGTTCAGAAATCCAGGCTTCTTTTAGATCATTGGCCATGGATACCAGCATCAACCGAACACAGCGACTGGTTGCCATCTTATAGTCCTGATTTCCTGTGTTCTCTACTTTCTAGAAAATTGAAAAAAATTCCAGAGCTGTAAACAGTCATCTAATATTGGTTATTTATTAGGTTCTAGATATTGAGCACAGGCTATTTACTTTCTCAATCATATATAATCAATTTATCTGGCCTGGTGAAGAAGACTGTAACAGGGTAAACCTGAAACAGGTAACAATTCAATAGGAAGCTCTCTCTCTCTCTCTCTGTCTCTTACACACACACACACACACACACACATTCCTACAATAGTAACACATTTAAATATAGATTTTATGTGCTCACCTTCAACAGAATATTAAAAATAACTAATATTTGGGAATAATTAAAGTTAATTTTCTGGGAAAACATTAGCTTAACCCAAACAAATCAAAGAAATGTCTTGTAACTTAACAGATATCTACCTCAAAACTTCTTAGATGCCCATAAGTTAAGTTTTCATAAATTAAGAAACCTGAACTTCACCTCACCATAAATAGTGCATTGGCCTGAAAACAGGCTGCTTTTAGATGAGGGAGGTTGAGAAAACAAGAAAAAAGTTCATAGAAAAAGTTTTCTTTTATTTTTTATTAATTGCTTTATTTTACAAATTGAGCTCAGAGCTAATTAATTAGTTGATTAGTTTTCATTTCTATTAATGTATGAAGAGATACCAGATTATACCTCCTGACTGCCTTTGAACTCAGGATGAGATAAAGATATAAGCCAAAAGCAGCCAATGAGGCTATGTATGGGAAGTAACATCTCTAATTCCAGTTACATTTATAATGCTGGGTCAGAGTCATAAGATATTCAAAAACATATTTAACCTATTAAAACTTCTAGTCTACATGTATTCTAACAATGATACCTATAATTCACATTTTTCCAAATGCAAAAATTCTTACCTTTGAGACTTCTTCACAAAAGGCATTTTCTACAATGTTAGACTGTACAGGTCCAGGACAAATGAGCATAACTGTTATCTCCGGATATACTGCAAGTTCACTTCGGAGGCTATTAAAAAACCCCTAACAGACCACCCCCAAAAGATGTTTTGGTTATTAAACACAGACATAAGAATTAGCTTTCTTTAATCATTTATGAATTATGAGCCCATCATAATTCTTTTACCATAATTTGTTCTCTAGATAATGATATATAATAAAGTTTCACCTTTAAAAGCAGCATAGGTCTTTGTATTAGACTTTAGGACATCTAGTCCCACTTGTGAACATATGCAGAAATTCCTTTAACAACATTCCTAAGAGGGAGGCATTCAGCCTCAGAACGGGTGCTTCCAGGAACAAGTAGCTCATGACTCTCATGAGATGGCCCATTCCATTTTCAGACAGCTCTAACTTTAAGAAGTCCTGCTTCCCTATATATCAGTCCTAGTACTACTTCCTGGAGATCAGAATAAGTCCTCTTTGACATAACAGCTCTTCAAATTATTGAAATCAATCAACAGGTGCTTCTTAAGCTTACTAGCTGTCTGATCTTGAGCAAGTCACTTAACCCTGTTTGCCTCAGTTTCGTCATCTATATAACAAGCTAGAGAAGGAAATGACAAACCATTCAAATATCTCTGCCAAGAAAACCTCAAATGGGGTCATGAAGAATCAAGCATGACTGAAAAATAACTGAACAATAACCTACTGTATTTCACTGCATAATCATCGCAGATTTCACACCAAATTTTTTGCAAAAAAAAGGTGGGGTGCGACCATCATGTGAAGCTTTTTTTTTTAAATTTGTGCCAGTATTACTTAAAAATCACTTATTACTACACTGTTTTTGGTGCAAGATTAGGATGCATGGAATACTCATTAAAATATGCTAAAATTGGAAAGATGCAAGTCTTAACCATATCATGTAACTTATTCATGGCAGCTTCACCTGCCTGCCCACTCCCCTGGGGCCTACAGCTCTTCACTGGGTTGAGTGACAACACCGCACCACTCTAAACAAGCCATGCAAGTTGGCTTTCACAAATATGCTGACCATGCACGTACGCTGAGAATTCTTGTCTTGGACTTACAATGCAGGACAGATAAATGTGTATCCATATGCCACTGGAGAATACATTGCTGCTCTCTTTATCTTTTCAGTGGTGTGATGAACGGAATTATACTATGCAACGATTACACAATGAAAGTGATAAACCAATTTTGCGACTGGAAAAACAGGGTGCGACAATTATTGGTGGTGATAATTATGCAGTGAAATATGGCAAGTCTTCACTAGTTATAATCAGCACAGAGCCACTGGTTCTTAAGGGTTCAATTCAAATGTATTCCTGCTAGAATGCTGGCAAGATTTAACACTTGTTTAATATTAATTCTGTACCAAGTACTGATATGGGCAGGGATATACATTTCTTCTCTTCTGATATCTGTCCCCCATCTCACCTCTACAACCTTAGGGTGCAATTACTTGTGTGAGACTCTCTTGCCACTCTCTCCCTTTACACTGACACCTCAGCCCCAATCCCTACTCACTGCTACACTGTTCTCTGCCCCTGCACACTATCTGCTCCCGATGCAGTTATGGTTAGATAGTTACAACTCTAGATCTTGCCTAGCTACATTCAAATCAGGGGTTCAAGTCTAGTGATAAGTCACTAAAATGTTGTGGGTCATGGTTGTACAAAAGCACCATCTGTGGATGGGAGCCCCCTCTCTACTTACCATAGTAGTCAGTTTAATTTCATATATGTTCCTTCATACATGATACTCCATCTTCTGGCTCCACACCTTTTGATAAGCTGTTTCCCATTCCTAGACTGCACTGATACCTTACCTCTGCCACTTAGAATCCCTAATTTTTCAAAGCACAGCTCATGTATCATTTACATGAAGAATTTCCTGACCATCCAAACGACCAGCGCTTCCTCACCACCTCAAAATTGCTTTGTATTTATTTTGTACATATATTGAATCAGCTCTATATGTGTATGCTGTCTGGGTAGACTATAAGACCTTTGAGGGCAGCAACCTTTTGGTCTGACACATGGAAGATGACTAATACATTCATTCTTCTTGACCAACTGATCTTCCTCATCAGTTTTGTCTGAATCACTTCTTAGGATCAAAGCTGATCCTGGAGCTGGAAAGGGCATTAGAGACCTTCTGATTGAATGCCTAAAGAGTTCAGATCCAGCCTCAGACACTTTCTAGCTGTGTGACCCTGGACATGTAATTTAACCACTGTCTGCTTCGGTTTCCTCATCCGTAAAATGGGGATAATAGTAGCACTTATTTCCCAGGGTTGTGGTGAAGATAATAAAAGATAGTATTTGTAAAGTACTTAGTATAATACTGGGCACACAGAAGATGCTTACTAAATGCTCATTTCCTTCCTTCCTATGTGCTGTATGTGCTCTTTGCCCTGATAAAATGTAAGCTCCTTGAGGGTAGGGAACATTTTGTTTGGCACATAGCAGATGGTTACAATTCTTGATTAATCAATTGACTGATCTTCCTACTTCAATTTTGTAAGAGAGTTTTGTTTGGATCTCTTCTTAGGATCAAAGCATCTAGAACCGGAAGGGACACTGGAGATTATTTGATTGAATTCCTTAATTTTCCAGATAGGAAATTCAGGCCCACAGAAGTGACATGATGTGTCCAGGGATGTGTCCTCATTGTCTGATTCCAGGATAAAGGGATCTTTTTGCTCCTTTTACATTCTATCTTGTAGCATACTTATTTGTATATTTATTATATCTGTAATAGCTGACTACAGGTGCTTTGAGAACAAAGATTGTGTTTTTCATCTTTGTATCCTCAGTATCTAACCAGGACAATGTTCGTTTTAGGTATTTAACAAACTGTTGTTGAATTCAATGGAAATTTAATCTTATTACCACCTCAAAACTGCTTGCCTGCCCTTCAGAGCAGTGACATCATAGGTAAATAACTTACCACTTTCCTTTATTAAAAAAAAATTATAATCTAGAGAGGATTCTGGGAAGATGGTGGAGTAGGTCAGAAAATTCCAAGCTCTCCAGATTTCCCCCACAAACAAGGCAAAAACAGCATCTCAAGACAAACGTAGAGCGCAAGAATTGGGGCAGAACAGTGGTCCTCCTGCAATAAGAAGACCCAAAGAAAAATGCCAGGACCAAGGTTTGGTCTTTAAGAAGTATAAACACCTCCAGGTTAGTTCCACTGAAATAGCAAGCAGCTAGGCCTTGGGACTAAGCTGGGTTTAGAGGTAGCCTTAAGCCCTACCCACAGTGTGGGGCCTTGGGCTCTGAGCTGGGGAAGATTGAGGCAACCTCTGCTGAGAAGGGACGCCAGGATCAGCCTGCGTGAGAAAGGACCGCCACACACTCAGTGAGTGTAGTGGCAGTGGGGCAGAGATGCCATGGGCTGTGGGCACTTACAGGAGGGCAGAGTTCAGTTACGGGCCAGAGAGGAGAACTGAAGGAAGGTCTGAGGCCAGAAACACCCCCCAAGAACTTGAGTTCAAATCCAGCCTTAGACACATAACACTCACAAGATGTGTGACTCTGAGCAAGTCACTTAACCCTCACTGCCTCACATAAAAAAAAAAAGATCAGAAGTAGAATTTATTAGGAAAAAAGAAAGCAGGGGTAGTAATCATGATCTCAGATAAAATTAAAGCTAAAATCGATTTAATCAAAAAAGAAAAGCAGGGAAACTATACTATATGTCAATCATATTCATCAATATTGTTTTAGACTACTTAAAATAACTAATGAGGTTGGAATATCGCTGTGGTGTAGGAAATGATGAGTCGGTGGACTTAGAAAAATATGGAAAACCTTGGATTTATGAAGGAAGATATTATCTAGGGGCAGCTAGGTGGCGCAGAGGATAGAGCTCCAGCCTTGGAGTCAGGAGCACCTGAGTTCAAATCTGGCCTCAGACACTTGACACTTAACTAGCTGTGTGACCCTGGGCAAATCACTTAACCCCAACTGCCTCACCAAAAAAAAGAAAAAAGATATTGTCTACCCTCAGAGAAACAGAGGACAACCAAGTATAGTATGATCTTACATTGATGCATATGAATGTATGTCTATGTATGAGTATGATTATAGATATCTAAGTATATGTATGTGTATGTAAGTGTAAGTATGTATACATATGTGTGTATGGATATGTAAATCTATATATGTATATATAAATGAAATAAATGAAAGAGATCAAGGAAAAATTAAAAAGAAAATAAGAACAATCCAAGAAAAACAAGGAGATTATGAAAAGAAAGTCAACCAATTGGAAAAGAAGATCCAGAATCTTATGGAAGAAAATTAGAACTGGGCAAGGGGAGCTATAAGTTCCCAGCTAAGTTATAAGAGACCAAGAAATAATAAAACAAAATATAAAGAAAGAAAAAATAGAAGAGAACATGAAACATGGTGTAAGAAAAACAAAGTAAAAAGTGCACAGCAGAGAAAAAAAGAAAACTTACAAGGAAGCAAAGATGCAGTTTTCAATACAATGTGCAGTATTTACTATATCGGCTTTCTTAAAATAGAAATTTATTGCTGTATATTTTGAATTCTCTCATATTCTGCTGTGCACAGGATATGCTTTTTTCTTTTTCTTATTTTTATTTAAGTTTACAATATGTTTCTTTTTCTTTTCCCATTGTGTATTTAAGTTTTAGTAGTAAAAAAACAAAAAAAAAAGAAATGGAAATGTATTGCTATATATTTTGAATTCTCTCACGTTCTGCTGTGTATATGGCAATACTTTTTTCTTTTTCTTATTTTGTATTTAAGTTTTAAAATTAGGTTTATAATATTTTATTTTTCTTTTCTTATTGTGTATTTATGTTTAAAATAAATTAGTAAAAATTATAATTTATGCACATACATTAACATATACATAAAATTATAAAATGTCACACCTGCAATTAAACTTTTTAAAATAACACTGACTAAAGATATAGAACTATCTTTTCCAAACCACCAATTTGGACACGTTTCACTTGGTCACTGGCCAGAAGGGAGAGAAAAGGTGGGGCACAGTATCCTGGGGACACTTCTGAATACAGAATGTTCAGTAAAAACCAACTTACGTGAAGTGCGTGTTTGGTAGCGGCGTAGCCTGAGACCAGAGCAACTCCTCCAAGGCCCATTAAACTGGATGTTGTAACAATCTTCCCTTGCTTCCTTTCAATCATATGAGGCAAAACACATTTTGTTAAGGAGACAGTGCCCATAAAGTTAATGTCCATTATCTCTTTATAAACATCCAGGTTTGTTTCCTCAAACAAAGAACGTTGACTTCTTCCACCATTGTTTACCAGAATGTCAATCTTGGGTAAAAAAAGCAAACAAAAAATTACAAAGGGAAAGTGACTACATTGTTAACTGGAATAATTTTCTCACTGGAAGATTACTATACTGAAATATTAGGTAAGGCATCACAGTTCTAGCCAGAACAACAATAAAAAAAAGTAACCAGTCACCAACTCAGAAACAGAGAGGCAAAATCATTATTTCAGTCACCAATCTATTGGCTCTGTCTACAAATCACTTATAGGTAACTAGGTGGCAAATCAGACAGATGCCTGGACCTGGAGTGAGGAAGACTTGAGTTCAGATCTAGTCTCTGACCCTTACTAGCTCTGAAAACTTGGACACAATTGATGTTGGTCTCCCAGTATTAATTTCTGTAAAATTGGGATGCTAATAGTAGCACTCACCTCCCAAGGTGGTTGTGAGGATAAAATGAAATAATATTTATAAAGTTCATTGCAAAACTATAAATGCTAGCTATTATTATAATGAAATTAATTAAATTCCCACTGCTCTAAAACTGACAAAGGGTAATCAATACATAAACTAATTTCCATATTTCATAGAAATCATTTCACTATACTGTATACATTACGACATACCTTCTACAAAGAAAGCATACCAGGGTAAGAATAAGCTAGCTCTTAACTTCCATACCTTAGACCCAATTCTATTTAAGTTTAAAAACATTTTTGCTGATTTACAAAGCACTCCTAGGATGGTGTCCCATCTATCTTTCTGCCCCTTATCATGAATTCTTGCCTGGGACTGTTTCTTTACAACATTACTCCTATGTCCAATTATGTGGTACTCATAGCTTCCGCAGTATAAAGCTGACAACATTTTCATTCGTGCTTCAGAGATAAAGGATTTTAAAATATGCTGAAGCAGATACCTAACTTACTGACTCTCCCCTATAGGTTGCAGTTATACAAACACACACACACACACACACACACACACGTGTGTGTGTGTATATATATTTTTTCCCCAATTACATGTTAACACAATTTTTAAACTTATTTTTAAGTTAAGAGTTCCAAATTCTAACCCTTCAACCCTCCTTTTCCTCTACTTTCTGTGAGTTGGTAAGCAATCTGATATACAAAACATTTCCATATTAGTCATTTTGTACAAGAAGACTTGAATTTTTAAAAAAGAATGAATGAAAATGAAAAATAGCATGCTTCAGTCTGTATTCAGACAATATCAGTTCTTTCTCTGAAGGCAGATTAGATAGTAGTTGCAGTTACTTTTAAAAAAAGACAATGTCAACCAACTCAACACACAACTTACTTGACCAAAATATTGGAGAACTTTTTTTGTTGCTGCTTCATGAGAACTTCTGTCAGTCAAATCAAGGGGTAAAACAAGGATGTCCTTTTCTTTCAAGTTGCTAATTTCTAAATGAAGAGGTTGAAACACAGACATGACCGTTGACTCACTGCTCACTCACATTCTCATTTGCATTAAACACAACTCTCATCCCACCCCTAAGAAAATGCACATTGCTAGGGCAGAGTTTTCCATCGGTTTCTAAAAGAGGTGTCAGATATGTACAGCTTGGAATACTACAGCAACTACTTTCTTAGGACGATATCTTGGTTGGACTAGCAAAAAGTGGGCTATCCCATTTCTATGGGTAGAAGTCCATAGAGCAGGAGCAGAAGGGATCACATTGAAGTCCAGACTCTGTTATAAAGTCTGAAGAAGGATCAAATCAGATTTAGGACAACCCCTGGAGAAGCACAAAAGGCCTATGTATATTTCCTATATGGCTCCAAGAGTACTGTGTTTAATATTAGCAAGATGTCACAATCAATTGTTCAGAGAATGTAATAGGTAGAAGTGTTTGTTAGGAATTACACCCAAATAAAATGTAGCAACAATTGCTTTCAAGGAAGGAGTTAACAGCCATAACCCAGATAGGCTCAAAGAGTAATACACTGCAAAAAGGGAGGGATCATAATTCGAATTATGCGTGTATTTCAATTTGCTATCTGATTGTTGCTTGTCCTCCTTCTTCGAAGAGACCATGACATCAGGAAGGTGATGTCATGACTTGTAAGTGATTTAAGTGAGGGAGGGTAGTGCAAAGTCAGCAGCCTCACTCTCTCCCTCTGGAGCCATCTGGGTCCAGTGGGCAGATATAGATCAGGACAACTGGACATGGTCCAGGATGCAGTGGGAGACCCTGGCCTTTTTCACCAGTTCTCCCTAAACAGCTCAGAGAGGGCCAAGTGATCTTGGTGTTTTAGTGATGCAGTAGCCTGATAAAATTTCAAAGAAAGCCAAAAAAACCCTGCAAGTTTTCACAGTGGTCAGGAAACATGGTGAATAAAGCAAGATAAGAACTAGCTATAAAAGGATCCTGTGACCCTGCCTCACCACTAACTTGGCAACTACAGGGATGAGCACATTAATCAAATAGTTGAAAAAGAAATTGCAGAAGGAGGACTGATTGAATACAATAGGGTTCTTTCTGTCTTATCACCAAAACAAGACTATTTTTGCAGATGGAAAAGAAACTCGTCTAACAAAAAAATTCAAAATTCTCAGAATTTGGGGCTTGAATTTCTAATAATAAATATTAGCTAGGATACTTGAGATTGCTTCTAAATGACACACCAAAACCAAAAAAATTTAGCCTGATTGCCATATTTATGACAACATCTTAAGTTATTAGAATTATTTATTACTGTTGTTGTTATTATTCCCTATCCCCTCCACTACCTCTTTATTTTGTAGAGCAGGAGTTCTAGAAGGGACAAGTTGCATAAGAAAGAATCAAAGGGAACAGTATGAAAATTCTGAAGAAAAAGGAATGAGTTATGGTTACGGGTGGGAGAAGGGGCAAAGACTACATGAAAGTGCACAAAATATAACCCGCCCCGGGTACTGGTAATGATATCACAGGAAGATGATATCACAAAATAGAAAGCAGAGCTGATCTGGCTGAAACACAGCACATGGGTAGGTCAGGGTGGGTAGGGGTGGCAGATGGATATTCGGGTCCAAGCACTCAAATCAGGGACAAGAGAACCTCCCCCCAAAAAAGTTCTACCAAATTCTCATAACTGTATCTGAGTTTAGACTTTAATTTTAAAAAATTATTTACATAAATGAAGTCCATTTGTAATTTTACTTACCAAGACATTTATTTTTCACCCTTTCTAGTTTATCTGCGTTTCTTGATGACAGCACAAGGGACGTTCCCAATTTAGACAACTGGTAGGCAAGCTCTTCACCAATGCCGCTTGAGGCTCCTGTCACCCAAGCCACCAAATCAGGTAACTCCCATTCTGCTCAAAAGAAAATGGGGGGGGGGGGGATATGGATCATCCTAACACATAAATGAGTAACAAAAACCCTGTTCCTTCTTTCAAAAAATAACTTTAACACAAAACACAAGGATACCACCTGCAAGAAAAACAAGAACATAAACTCTTCAGGGAAATCTTAGACTATTATTGACAACTTCTGAGACAGTGGTTTCAGTGGAGTGAACAGGCTGGAAACCAAAATACAAGAGGTTGAGAAGTGACTGAGAAAAGAGGAGAGGAGAGAAGTGGAGGCAATGGCTATGGACAGTGTTCTTCTAGTTTAGCTGTAAAAATAAGACAGCTATAGCTTGGTAACATTAGGGTATGATAAAGTCAAATGATAGTTTTATTTAAAAAGAGGGAGACCTGGGGCAGCTAGGTGGCACAGTGGATAGAGCACCAGCCCTGGAGTCAGGAGGACCTGAGTTCTAAGCCAGCCTCAGACACATAACACTTACTAGCTGTGTGGCCCTGGGCAAGTCACTTAACCCCATTGCCTAGCAATAAATAAATAAAATAAGCATGTTAAAATATTCTCAGAAGATTTTTTTTAAAAAGGGGGGAGAGCAGCTAGGTGGCGCAGTGGGTAGAGCACCAGCCCTGAAGTCTGGAGGACCTGAGTTCAAATCCGCCTTCAGACCAAACACTTGACACGTACTAGCTGTGTGACCCTGGGCAAGTCACAACCCCAACTGCCTAAAAAAAAAAAATGAGGGAGACCCAGGCACTTTCATATGCAAAGGGGAAGAAACCAACAGAGATTGAAGATACACAAAAAAGCAGGGATAACAGTAGGATCTAGCTCTCAGAAGAGATGGGTAGGACTGGGATCAAAGGTAGAAGCAGAGGGTTCGCTTTAGCAAGGAGAAAGATGATTATCTTTGTCAGAGATTAAAGCAAAAGAGGAAAGAACTGGGAGATTAGGTTGAGGATTTTAAGGTGTAGGATGAGGATGAAAAGGATGACTTCTATTTTCCTGACAAAGTAGAAAACAGGATCTTTAGCTGACAGAGACTGGGGTCCTAAACTCTGGTCCCGGTCAGGTTCCTGAAGGTGAAAGTTGTGGTGTCAGAGGGGGAGGCCTTGAAGAGAGAGCACTGTCCTGAGCGGGGTCTGGTCCAGCAAAGGGAGCTCTGTGGTAATGAAGAGGTGAAGAGTTTGTGGCCATGAGTCAGAGCAGGGTAGCATCATATTCCAGAGCTGTGGAGGTGGAAATAGGAGGCCTCCAAATCCATGCCCTGAGCAGACCTGGTGCCAGAGAATCCCCTCACAATGTGTCAATAGAAAACCATCCCAGATCCCTCACGGTAACTCTCCAGGGCAGCTGTCGCACTCCTGCCCCTCCCGTGGATGTACAGTTAACTATTTCCCACCTCCTGATGCCACCTGTGGCAAGGACTTGCAACCGGCAGTGCAAAGAAAGCAAGCGGTTTGATCCCCAATATTCTCCAAATTTGGTCTGAACAAGCAAAGTACCAGTGGGCTTTATCACCTCCCTTGGTCTGAGGACAAAGCCTCTATTGGTATTTGTTCTGCCCTAAGTAGTTCAGAAAGTTCTTGTGAGAATTAAATGCAATACATGATGCAAAGCATTTTTGTACTATTCAAGTGCTATATAAATACAAACCAGGAGAAGTAAAATGTTGCCAGTTCAATCAGACAAAAAGAAGGACTTATTCTCCCCTAATAGCCCAACCATTTACTCCTTCCAACACCAAGACAGAGCGAAGCACACAGAACAAATGAGAATCCTAATCAAATTGATACATGGCCACATCAAAGGAACAAGCTCATATTTTGACATCTATTCTGTTTTACCTAATGCTCCTGAGGCTGTGCAACACATGAGAAGCAAAGTGAACTTACCAGTGTAGCAACTTAAGGGGCTTTCAAAAACGCTCAACCACCTTGCTGTGCCGTGAAATTGCACCTTCCTATTAAAATTCAAAGATCTTTGACACAGATCATCCCAGTTTTCTCCACTTACTTGTGGTATGGGGGAAATAGCATGGATTCAGGAGTCGGAGATGTTTGGTTCAAATCTCACCTTTACCTGTGTGATCTGGGGCAACTAAACCTATGATCCTCACCACTATGCAAGTAGAGAGCTTTGCAGAACCCTAATGGGTGTTATAAATGCTACAGAAACTAGCAAAAAGAATAGTCTTTGTGTGCACTTTGTAAAAAGGATTACTGCATCACTCAAAGTATGAAACAGCGCCGTTCAAATTCTATCGCGCTAGGGCAAGACTTACCAAGCATAAACGACTAACAACCCTTCTCTTTCACAACCGCGGTGTGAAGTAAGCGGGTAGCTCCTTGAATCTGCTGGATGAGCTTTCTGATGCCTAGTCCCTCAGGTAAACAAGAAAGGGATGAGGAGCAGGAATGGCTTGGGAAGGGACCATCTTAAATGCGCTATAAACTCCACCCTCCATCCAAACAATGAGGATCCTTGGGGACGAAGAACCTCCCTGATCTGGAAACTCTCCCCCCTTCTGTATTTCGCAGGAGTTTCCCAAGACAAGAAGCAGCGAGGCCTACCCGAGAACGCTCCTCCCCAGCCACTAATCGAGGTACCCACAAAGTCAGATTTCTCAATCTCTCCTTCCTTTCAGAGAGGGGCTGGGCTCTGCACCGCCTTGCTTCTAGCCATGGTGGGGAGCACGAGTGGCTCCACTCCGCGTTCACCTCCAGCTCTCAGGAGGGATGCTTTTATTCCACACCAGAGGGGGTGCCGAGCTCACTCACCAACCCCTTGGGAAGCCAGCAGCCGCCACAGCCACCGGAGTCTCACCCGACAATCCCTAGCGTCTGGACGAGGTCCTCACCTGGCCGGCGTCCCTGCCATTCTGCCCAGAGCAGAGTCAGGTCGCCGTCTGCCCGCACGAAACGGATCAGCTGCACCCCTAAGTACACGAGCGCACAGGCCAGCAGCAGGGACCACAGGAGATCCCAGCTCATCTCGCTGAGCCAGGCTGTACTCCCAAGAAAAGGTAACCGCGGGAAGCCCTCTTCTCCTGGGCGCTGGCCTTCCTCTTTTCGGGGTTGTCGCCTTATCCCCGGGACTCAGCACCGGCGCTGCTTGGAAAGCTGGGTGGCCCGGCAAACACTCCGAGCCAGGCCAGGACTCTATAAAGATTTCCCCAAGCCCCGCCTCCTGACCCTTGCTTGCAAACCGGTCCTCCCTCTACGCAGTTCTGCAAGCAGAGGAGGACTTTTGTAACACAGGGAACTGTGCATGAAGAGCGGAGAGGCACTTTATAAGTCTCTTAATTCTGCTCCCTCGTTTTACGAAGGAGGCTACTGAATCCTAGAAAGAGGTGATCTGTCCAAAGTCAGACACAGAAAAAAAAATAATAATTTGAAACTAGTTTACCTGACTCCAAATCAGACCAGGCGGTCTCTTTCTGCACCCCACCTTCCAAACTCCTGGGGCAGCCCACCCCTGATGTTAGAAAGCGTGCACACGAGATCAAGGAAATTTGTTTTGTCTAATTAACGCTGGAGAAAGGAGGTTGGGCAAGGTCAAGGCCGGGGTGGGGAAGAGGAAAGTGGGGGGCCGATTTCTAGGTAGCTAGAACACTGGTGTTGGAATCAGGAAGGATCATCTTCCGTTGAGTTCAAATCCAGCCTCAGACACTTACTAGCTGTGTGACCCCGGGCAAGTCATTTCACCTTGTTTGTCTCAGTTTCCTCATCTGTAAAATGAGCTGGAGCCAGAAATGGCAAACTATTTCAGTATCTTTGCCAAGAAAACCCCAAATGGGGTCACCAAGAGTTGGACATAACTGAATAAAAACATGAATAACACTCCCTTGTTCCTGGATTATCTCCTACACGTTCTGTTGCGGTGTAAGAGGTTGAGAGGTTGTGACCCCTCAAAGACTGGAATACAGGATGGGCCATCTGAAATGAATTCACAGACTCAAGCATTCTTTAAGCCAAGGTGGCAAAGATTTATTGTTAAGCTTTTCAGCGGGCAAGGATTCTTAAAGGATCCTGCGAGAGACTGAGAATGCAGCTAGGGTTTATATGGAAAAGAGCATGGGAAAGGAATGCCAGGGACACTGATGAGGTAATCCAAAGGTGCAGGTGTCTTTGGGGGCTATGGATGGGAAAGTACAGGGAGCATACCAGACAGGGAGGGAGATGACAGAGGTATGGATGTTTGGAGTCTGGCAGGAGGAAGAGTCCTTGGGCTGGCCGAGGATAAAACTCCTTGGGCTGGGCAAGGCACCCCTCTCCCTCTGACTTGATGAGAGAATGTTCTGCAACAGGGGAAAGCTTTCTCACAAGACAGGAACTTACTAAGGAATTAGGACGCTTCCAGAGACATGATGTGAGGGCTGGGGCTTGAGCAGCTCAGCTCTGTGTAGCTGTACCAGGGAGAGAGATAAGGGTCGTGCTGAGGCCCATGCATGAATAACTGCTAGGCACAGTGTCCTTGGGCTGGGGAGTGGTTGTCAGAGACAGTGTTTCTGAGAAATTGGGGTCCAAGCACAAGCACCCAAGCACCTCATCAGTTCCACTCTACATCCTGCTTGGTTAGAGTAGGAAGAGACAAGGAAAGACAAGAGTTCTAACAAACAAGCTTCTCTTCCTCCTCCTAGTAGCCAGTTTATTTTATCAATTCCCCCTCCAGCTGTGGTGGCTGCTCCTGAATGCATGTGCTGACTTAAACTGGTTGGTTGGTAGGTGTTTACTTCAGTCTGTTAGAGCCAAGTTACATTGTGTCGGCCTGTGGCTGATCAGACCAACAGGACAGCGCTCAACCACAGGTCAGGCACAAATAGTCCATGGGAACATTTGGAGTAGATTCTCTCAATTTGTGCATCTCCCATTTCTTTTGAGCTACTTCAGTTCTGCTTTTCTCCTACAGCCCAGCACCTTCTCTGATGAGGGCAGTCCATGCTGGATCGTCCTTTGCCAGTGTCTCCCATCTCACACAATCAATTCCAAAGTTCTTAAGAGAGACCTTGAGAGTGTCCTTATATCATTTTTTCTGACCACCCTTTGAGCACTTGCCCTATGTGAGTTCTCCATAAAATAGTATTTTTGGCAAACATGACAGAACAGGTTTCTTTTGGGGTGTGGCTACACTAGGAATTATTTTCTTATGTGGGGCTGACTGGAAGCAGATATTTTCTGCAACTTTACCCTTCTTGGAGAACATGACCGTTGAGAGAAGAATCAGCCTGAGCAAGCCCTGCCTTACTAGAAGACAAGTACTGGGGAGGTGTTTGGAGAATGAAAGATGAAATATCTATTCAAAAGTCTACACTAAATGCCCCATGTTTAAATATTTTAAGTATCAATCCTCCAAAAAATAGAGTAGCAATTATTGGCAATGTTTGATGTTTTAAGTCTTTGTCACTTTGTGCTTACGAATCTTTTGTGCTTTAAAAAATTTCTTTTATGTGGAGGAACTAAATAGCTACCCTATACCTAATCTACCTATGTACTTTGAGTCTATTTCAAATTTCTTCTTGTGTGACACTGAGACACCAGACTTTTGGCTTTAAGTGATTTTGACCAAGGCTAGGGGGAGGGAGGACTACATGCATAAAAAGTCAGAGTTATGATCTAGTGACTAGCTTTTTGAAAAGTCTAGGACTAAGCCCTTTGCGGGCAGTGAGGTCTCCAACTTTTATCCACCCACTGGGACTGGTTTTGCTTTCTCTCAGTTGTATATATTCTTGCTTTTGGGTGAAGGAGATTGGATATGGTATGATCTTATGAGCTTTGAGCAGCACAAGTCTGTGCTGGAATTTGCCGGAAGCCAGAAGATGAGGAATGATATCCCCAATGATGACTTATTCTCACTAGAGCAGAGGTGCAGATTCACCCACACATTTTTAGTTGTGGTTAAGTCTCCAATCTCCAGAGGTGCAGATTCACCCACACATTTTTAGTTGTGGTTAAGTCTCCAATCAAGGTGTTAGGAAATGTATGCCTCCAGGTGTTTGGGGAAAGGGTTTGGACTTCTGTTCTTGCTTTATCTTTGCAATGATTATTCTTTTTTAAAAGAGGGCTACCCAAGTGCCTCACAAAAAAAAAAGTTGCTATAAAAGAGGGCTTTCTGTGTTTGTTTTGTTTTTAAACAGCCATAGATAATAAGAAAAGCCTGACCCCTCTCATTAGAGACCAGGCTAAACCCAATCTAAGTGAATCAAGAGCTGAGGGTTTCCTTGGTGAGATAGAGTGCCCTGTAGCTCCCTGAAATGGTCAGACCTTTGATTTGGGAAGATCACTTTGAGAGCAGAGTGGAGAGTGGACTGGAGTGGAAAGACACTTGAGACAGGGAAACTAACCAACAGACTATTCAATAGTACAGGTGTTAGGTGATGAGTATGCACACCAAGATGGCAGCAGTGTCAAAGGGGAGAAGGTAAAGTACATGTTCTGAAGGCGAAATTAATAGGACTTGGCAACAGATTCAATTGGGGGGGGTGGTAATGCGAGAGTGAGGAGTCAAAGGAAGCCGTTGCGGTTGCTTAAATTTGACACAGCATAGTTTCTTTAATACTACAAGTAGTAGATTAATAAATTTTTTTGAGTGACGATGGTGCTTTGCAAATGCTTTGCATTTGATTCTAGGTTCCTCACTGAAGATGAGGGCTTGGAAAGTCACTTAATTTTGATGAATGATTCACGCTTTGAAATATAAAGTTTCAAAGTTGAAAGGGACCTGAGAAGTTATGTAGAACTACTTGTGCTTGAACAGGAATCCCCTCTGAAACATTTCTGATGTGTCCATTCAGCCTCTAATTGAAGGTCTTCAGAGATGTGGCCCTTACTACCTCCTGAAGCGGCCTCTGCCACTATAGGACAGCTCGAATGGTTAGAAATTTTTTCCTTAGACTGAGCTGAAATCTGTTTTTCCAAATCTTCCATACATTGCTCCTAGTTTGTGAAAGGAGTAATTATTTCACAGTGTTAATCTCATCCAAAAGGAGTGAGTATGAAAAAAAAATTGGTGAATGGCAGGGATCTTTCTTGGTACCTAATCTGCTTCCCCATTGACAATCTGGACATTGAGGCAACTCCATTAAACAACTTCCAGCTGCTTTTAGAGAATGTACTACATTACAGCATTGGAAAATAAATTGTTTTCTTGAGGAAGAAAAGAGTTAATGCATTTGAAATTCCTGACAGTTTAAAATTTATGCCCTGATAAGTCTAATAAGGACAGAGTACAGCAAAACTCTTCTCCCTTGTAAGGGTCACTACAAACCAGATATATATATATATATATATATATATATATATATATATATATATATATATATATATATATACATATTTTTTAACACAGTCCAGATCTTTTTTTTTTTAAACATAATCCAGTAGAATGACTCTTGCATTTCACATCAGATGGCCTGAGTTTGAATCTTCACTCAGTTACTTATTACCCAATGTCCTTGGGCAACTTATTTAACCTTTATGTGTCTTGGTTTCCTAATGCATAAAATGAGAGAGAGATGTTGAAGGAGCTCGTAGGATTCTCCTAGATCTAAATCTGTGATTCTATGAACTACAGGGTTTCCCAAAAGTCCTAGGGCAGCTTTAACTTTTCATAACTTTAGAAGTGTAAATGGTACAACCCTTTCCCCTCCCCGCAAATGTGAAAGGTTTACTATTCAGATTTTTAAAATACAGCTATCCCTTCCACACCTCAATTTTCCTCATTAAGGTTTTGATATATTGCAGGTCAGCATAAGAAATTAAATGGTAATTTTTTGGGAGTTTTGCAGAAGCTGCAGATGACGCGTGAAGGCCAGCAGATGACGCTGAAAAAGTTTAGAAACTCAGACATGCATAAAATATATGTATAGTATTGTATAATATCAACATAGTTTATCTTTTAATACCATAATAATTTAGACTTCTGTGGTATGAAGGGAGGGCCAAAAAGTTTTACATGGATTTTCTGGATCACAGGGGTGGCACTCCTAATTGCTCTAATGTGGAAGGGATAATTGTATTGATATGTTTCTTGTTTAAATTCAACATAACCACTGTCTTGTGCTATATAAGGATCCCTGTAGGCCATCTATTAACTTAGAAAACGACATATTAACATTATCTGTGTTTTATTGGACTTTTGGGCCTTGAGCTCTGCACTCTGGTCTCCTAATAAA